AAAAAAAAAACTGTTTATCAAACTTGCTACTTGCTATGGTAATGAAACTGCAGAAAGCTAACAAAAAAATAAAAAACCTATAGAATGTTCCAATCTATACAAAGTTTCTCCAACTACGTCCTAATGCACCAAACCTTTGACTACGTTTCAAAGATGTTACCCACAACGAACATACACCAAACATCTCAAAATATTTTAGAATATATGCAAATCTGTTGAGAGTTTCCAGTCGTCTTGACGTCCACTTGATTGTACATTTCAGATACAGAACTTTCTGCTCATTAAACGATATTTGAAGAACAAAAACAACAGCAACAGAAAAAAAAATAGAAAAAAAGAAAGAACAGAACAAATCAAGCACCAACACCGCTTAAAAAAAACAATCAAATTCAACTTTCTGTTCTCCTTCTTATCGTTCCTCAGTTTCCATAAAAAATACATTAGCTTCGACTGCAAAACAAAAACAAAGCTACCACAGCATTGACGATTAATAAATTAAGTACATATACAGCAGCAGTAATCAATCGACGTCCCCCTCCCGGCTGGATTATCCTCTCTCGCAGAATACAAAAATATAACTAGAATAAAGCAAAAGTACATCATATCATATAAGTACAAAAAAAAAAAAAGAAGATCTTAGAATATCAGAGCACGTTTACCATCCTTCTGCAAACATATCTGTGCTAAAAATTTCGCCAACAGTGTTTTTGAGCAGTTAATGCAATAACAACAAAAACAAGGTTAAATTAGGTAAAAAAAAAGAAATGTCGATAAACAAAGTGTAAATTAGTCTTAGTTCTCCTTTTTTGTGTTATCACACTGCAACAATTATACGACAAAATTTCTTCCTTTCCCTTCAGCACTTAATCTTATAGCGTATCACAAACCATATTTTAGTTATTCTGTCTGTACTCTTGAGCAAAAATCTGGTTTTTTTTTTACCACAGAATTCTTTGATTATATTAAGTTCCTTCACTACCATTGCTATCCATTTCGGCCAAAAGTCGCTTTTTAATTGAGGAATGAACTTCAAATGGCAAACCACTCATATTGGCGATGTTAAATAAGCCCAAAAACTGTACTGTATCGTCTTCCTGTTGAGAAAGGTGCTAAAACAACAAAAACATTAATGCTTCTTTATCGGTTTTTATAAAGTTTTTTCTGCAAGTTATTCAAATTTGTTTACTTTAAAAAGAGTTTCTTTTGAATACAAAGAAAGTGTTTGACATATCCAAGAATTCAGACAAAAGCAGAATCGTTTACCATTTGACTACGGCGACACTGCCGTGTGCAATATCTTTTCAAAGATCCACATTTAAATCTCCAATTTTTGTTTCTTTAATTTTTAGAAGGTGAGGGAAGAGAAGTTAGCTGTGTTTGAGAAAAAAAAAGAATTAAAAGTTTACCATTATGCTTGGAAGAAGCAAAAGAAGTTTTGTTACACGATTCATAACTTGATATTGGCTAAATTCGGCATGTTGCGTCAAAACATGTTCATATAAACCTTCGATGTATTTTTCTCGTACATTTTGTACATGACGTTTACCAGCATCACTTAAACGATGATCTAAACACCAAAAACAAAAAAAACAAAAAGAAATTTGAAGCGATAAAACTTACTATGCCAAGAAAGAAAAAAAGTAAAATTTGTACATGTTGTCAAGTGCTCTCTTAAATTGAATTATTTGTGCTGAATATACAATGACACCAACTGATCTACGATTGCACAAAAAGATAACCAAATTATTTTAATTTTCTATGACAAATTGAACAATTGTTTACAACTAATAACATTTGCTTAATTACTGTGCTCTTTCCATCATTTACGTTTCATGTTCTTTTGATTCTTGTTTTAAAAGCAACATTAGTATAGTTCTATAGCTGTAAAACAGGCCTGTTTTGATTTTTAACTTTCTACCCTCTTTTCTCTGCTAATTGGTCTATGCTTAGACCAAATTCATTAAACGTTTAAAATGACGGTGAGAAATGTTAT